CGGGGAGGCAAAGAGAGGGAAAGCGAGAAACGTGAGAGGGGGGGGTGGCATCGTGCTACTGGGCGATGGTGGCGTTGGAGAAGTCCAGTGCGCGCTCCAGCTGCAGCCCTGCGGAGATGCAAGGAAGGGGGGGGGAAGACGAGGTGCCGCAGGGGGCCGCAGAAGAGGTGCCAGCGAGGCATGCACCGGGGTAGAAAAACACGTTGCAAAAGTACCGTAATGCGCGTACTGGGGTAGAAAAACACGTTGCAAAAGTACCGTAATGCGCGTACTGGGGTAGACAAAACGTTGCAAAGGTAGCGTAGTGTGCGTACCGGGGTAGAAGGGGACGTAGAAGAGGTGCGCTTTGGAGGGGTGCGGCGTGAGGCAGAGGTGGTTGCGCAGGCGGTGGTGCAGCAGCAGCTCCGCGTTGTACAGCGACGTGCGCCACCAGTGCGCCACGCCCGCGTACTCGGGCTTCTGCGCGCGGGCGGATGGGGATGGGGGATGGGGGATGGGGAGGGTGGAATATGGGACAGGGAATGGGGGAGAACAGCCATGCCCACCGGGTTGTTGCGCAGGCGGTGGGGAACATGGGGGATGGGGGATGGGGAAATGGGAAATGGGGGAGGGGCAATGGGGAATGAAGGCGCACAGGAAAGAAATTCTTGGGAAGGGAAGTGGGGTGGATGGGGGAAAGGGAAGAAGAGGCGGGGTTTTGATAAAGGGTACGGCACGCCCATGCCCATGGAGCTGAGCTCCGCACACCATTTTGCTGGCAATGACAGAAAATCCTCGAATCCATCTACGGTTTCAATGAACCTTATAAGTTGACTGAGTAGTGACCGGACGCACCAAATAAATTGGCTCAGAAATGACTCGACGCACCTTGGAGTTGTACGCCACACCCATGCCCATGGAGCTGAGCTCCACACACAAATTTGCTGGCAGCGTCTAAGAACTCTCAGTACCACCTACAATTTCGACGCACCTTGGAGTTGTACGGCACGCCCATGCCCATGGAGCTCAGCTCCGCACAGCGCTCGCCCGTGTCGTCGCGGTTACGGCACTTGGCCAGCACACCCTGGACACAAAGGGAGGGGGTGCAACGGACGTGATCGAACGGCATTTGAGGCGTTTCAACAGTCGCTCGCCCGGCAATCGAGCGACTGGAGATGTAGAATCGAGGTTGTCCGCTGTAATGCGGCAAGCAACGAAAACATATTTATAAGGACGCTGCGGTTGGAAGGGAGGAGAAGCTGCAGCTCGATCAACAAACGGTTCCGATTCACAGTTGGACTACGGAGTTATGATGACACATCTTGTGTGTGGTTACATAACTTGTTCTCCTTCACCTCGCAGTAATTATGGCTGTTCGCTCCCTGAAACGAGAAAATGGAAGAATGGGAATGACCCAGCCGTGCAGCTGACGGATCGTCACACACCTTGTTGAATCTCGCAGGCAGGTTATACATGTAGATGTACCGGCCTTCGCACATGCGAGCAATCGTATCGGGATCGGCTCTCTTGGTTTCCGCCTTCTCCGGTACGTCATAGTGCAGCCACGTCACCACCCCCAGGCATATCACGATCAGCGCTAGCAAGCGAAGCCTACCCGCTCGCCCGCTCCCTTTTGAGGGGACTCCGTACGATTTCATCATCTCGATCTGGATGTCAGCTCCAGGACCGCGGAAAGGTTGAACAAGCTTCCTTCTTGCGGAGTTGACTTTAAATATCTGTTACCCTGAAATCAACACCCTAACTTGAGAAGCCAACTCGTTTTGCTGGCTCAATTGGAATCTGTCATTCCAAGACTGCTAGTTTCTGTGTCCCCTGAATTACCTACTCCAACTGCATTAACGAATATTAAGCTGCAAGCATTTCATACGAACAGCGGATTGCCACTACGGATGAAACTCCGCTGCTAAAAAAACACGTGTCGGCCACAAGCAGCAACAGGAATGTAATTCCTTTGTGGTTTTTCTACCCGATTCGACTGCTAAATGGTGGTGGTTTTTGTGCAGAAGAAAACAACCATCAACCTCACTCCCAACTTCTGTGATAATAGCCGTTTTTACTGGATGTGCCTCGTCCAAAAGGAGGATACAGGTGGGATGCCAGCTGAACTCATAACCAGAGCTTCAGGTTTGTGAACCACATCGAGGGTTAAAATTGATCCATCTTCACCGAGCCTCCCGAACTGTCAGCTGACGAAGCGGAACTGACAAAACGCGGTTTGATCAAGGTATGGAAAAGCGGGAGTCGAAGGAAGCCTCTGGTTTTTAGGCTAATGAAACGTGGCACAGTGTCTGGTCTGGAGGCATCGAGCCAAGAGGTTTGGTCGGAGTAGGCTTGAGGTGGGGCAGCCTTGATCTGATTCGAAGTAGCGGTTCCGCCTCGCACAGATTGGTCAAGGGGAGCGGGACGTGCCACATTGTATCGTAACTCATTTACGAATTCAACACCTAGAAAACTACCTGTACAGTGATAACATTTTCCTAGTCTTGAAGGTATATTGTGCTAAAGAAACTCTGAAACATCTCATGAATAGCCCACAGCATCACATCAATCTCAGCTGTCGATGGTCACAATACACCAGACCAGACTGATGTGTCACTCCATTATCTGCTCAGCAGGTGCCAAGGTGGCACAATTTGACTCCAATAGTTTCTGCAGAATAAAATCTCATGAACAATCTCATCTCAACAACGAAAAAAAAAAGACTTGCAGGCACGATACATCATAGCTTACCGCAGTGGCGCCTTGGGCCTTGGCTCGAAGACGGACCAAAGAATGGTCCTGAAGAGCATTCATTGAGCATACGAGATGCTCAAACCTCTCTTCCCTGGGCACTGCCTCCTTGACAACTGGGGGGAGGGAAGCACAACTGCAGGTATTGGTGCAGCTTTCTAATCCAATCACCTGTAAGAGCAATAGATCTTGACTACTGCAACCAACCTGCAAAACTTGGTGTAAACTATATGAAGGACTCTCCCTGGTATGTACAAGCGTGCAGGATTGCGATGAAGCACCCAGGCTGGAACAAGCGTGTCCTTCATACATGAGAATGCAAGGAGACATGGTAAGCTGCACAGAGAAGAATTACATTAGCTTCAGAAACCAGCTAGCTCCTATCTTACATGAGAAAGCAAGCAAAAACACAGAAAACGCACCACAATGCAGCACCGAAGATAAGCTGAAGAGGCAAAGCTGTCCGGGGAAGAAAATCATCCTGCATGAAATGGATTACGATGCATTTCTCACAACGCGCTTTGCACGAGGGAATAGGAGGAAAAGACAGCTGAGTTCACATCGTATCGTACCTGAAGGACCACGGAGGTGATGACGCCAGAGTACTTAACAGCCAGGTTGAGAGACACAACCCTTGGCGGTGCGAAGGCCAGGCAGTGGAGCCTCCCAGGCGGCATAATGCCAATTCGATCTGGCGAGCTCGCAAAGAGAATGGCTAACAGGGAGGCGATTCCGCTGCCAAGCGAGTGGCCGCTAAGTGTCAGGCTGAACCCCGGATTCGCTTGTAACACCTCCTTTATGGTGTCTGCCTCTCTTTCAAGCAACCACTGCGCTGCTTGCAAAAGGCCCTTGTGAGCGTACCCATCTTCAAGCCTCTGCGAAACCCTAACCACGCTAGTAAAAATCTTGGAGTTCAACAAAAGAGCATGCGGAGCTGAAGAGTGCGTTCCCATGGTTTCGGCAAGGACTGTGGTTTCACGGACGTACTTTATCCCAGACAGTGTCGGACTCACCTGCTGCCCCGTTCGGTTGTTAAGCAAGACGGCGTAATCGGCCTCGTGGGTGAGATGCAGGCCGCGGATCGCGACGCATACATCCTTGGCGTCAGGATCGAGGAATACGGTGTACGGCGGGCACTGCCCTCTCGTGTCATCGTACGAGACGGATTTCACTACGCGCGCTGGCCGCACCGCATCGCTGAAACGAGGCTCCGTTACATCTCGCTCGTACACGGAGAGTACGAGATTAGAAACGCGCGTGATATTCTGAACGTCTGGGAGGCTCGCCTCTGGCCAGGACGCGCTAGTGAAGGAGCCGTGCATGCCGCATCTTATAAAAGCGTATTGCGCAAAAACCGCAGCACACGCCGTCGCGCCGAAAATTGCAACTTCCATGTCACTCAAGGACATAAGAAGCAGACAGGAGCCTCTGCCTGAGATTTACGTAACTCTTTCGAATTTCCTGCGGATTCTGACAAGATCGAAGCAAATTCTTTCGAGCATTGTTCTCTCCACCCCGTATGGCTCTGAATCGCTGGAACGAGCCCAGTCACCCTCAAGAGTCCTAAGTTTCCTATTGTAGAATGCTGCGTGGTGGGCAATCGATGCATGTGATGAAACTAGGTAGCTGGATTGCGGAGGGGCGATTTCTTTGTTGGACCTTCTGATTCTTTAGAAGGTGACGCGTGGTTGCTTTAGAAGGTCAATTTTGCAAATCAGATAGTGAGCCCCACTTATTTCAGCAAATCTGCCAACTATTTTTAACCATTGTCGAAATCAGATCTGGTTTCGCAAACTGTGCCGCCGCATGTTCATGCGACTTGAAGCTCACTTGCGAAATCTCGTCAGCTTCAATCGCCCGCATTCTTGCGACGTGCCAAGGTGATGCAAAAATGCACTGCCGAATCGCACATGGCTGCTAAAAAATTGCGACCCCCAACCGACACATTGCAATTCGCGCGAGAAGGCACACAAGTATTTTGACTTGTTGAGAACAGAATTTCCGACATAGACGAGACCTGCTCTTGTATAATACCCGGCGAAGAGACACCCAAAAACAGAGGCAGGGACTTACTGCTGCATCACCAAACGAATGCGTGAGCTCAACAGCATCAAGACAAGCCTATCGCATCCGCATCTACCTGTCGCATAAATAGAATAGCTCGGCCTTGCAACGGCAAAGACACAGTCGTCTACGAAAGTCTTGCTGATAGCTTCTAACCCCAAATTAGAACAGACCGTTAGTTTCGCGTCCACTCATTGTTCCATCAAATGGCTCGTCACAACGGTAAGAGCACATCCTTCTCGTCATATGCTCTCTCACAATGCATAGTCGCCCTCCTGTTCGTATCGCCAGCTCCTGCGACGAGCGCATGCCGCGCTTCTTGGCCGATGGACACCCGCAGTAGTCTAATTTCCCTTGGGTCTTTTATTTCTGTTTTCCTGCACTGCAGTCCGCACGGTTCTACTCGTAGCACTGGTTGTCCTACTGGGCGCCTCGATCCCGGCAGACGTGGCGGCGTGGAGGGTGAACTGCGCGGGCAGCGCCAACAAGATGCCCGGCAGACTCATCAGTACGCGCTTTTTCGATTCATAAGCCCACACGTGATGATTTGATTTTTTAGCCGTCTTAAAACCAACAAGATGCCCGGAAGACTCATCAGTACGCGCTTTTTTATTCCTAAGTCGGGCGATTCAATCCCAGTTGTCAGTACCGTTGGCCGTCGCTCTGTCCGTCACTAGAACGATTCTTGCAAATACATCTGCTAGTGGCCGGCCCCTGTCAAAGTTTCTGACTGAACCCCAAGTGACATTCGCCTTTTTTCGGATGTGTATCTGCCAGGCGAGTTGCAAACAAGTCTCGAGAAGGAGAAAGTTCCCGCCTTCACCTTCGGCCGACGGCAAGCCGACGGATTCCTCGATATCTTCGTCTACAAGTGAGAAGTCACAACTAGTCACAAATTACACGAAGCTCTTTCTTCAACCTACTCCAAGAATCCAGCGTAGTTTCGGAAATTTCACGTACACGCTAGAAACAGAAATCGTTTCGTTCACTCCGCCTCACACCAACCAACCATGGCTCTCCGACTGAGTGAAAACCCCTCGGACCGCCTTCCCGCCTCCCACGTCCCCCCGTTCCCCGACTTTCCCCCTCACCGCTTTCGACCTCAGAACGACGGACGCGGTAAACGTGAAGTTCGATTTAAGAATGGAGAGCATCTACATGCCGGTCACGCGCACCATCAACTTCGGTCCCAAGGGTGCCCTAGGCCCCGCGCTGATCAGCATTCCCGGCATCCCGAGCCTCAAGAACTGGCACGACGACGGGCCGAAGATTATCTCCACGGGGTGGATCATGAATGCGCATCGCACGCCGTCGCTCAACGACCCGAATGTGACAGTAGCGGAAGTGCTAGAGCAGATGGACGCGAACCCGGGCGCGTATTACGCGTCGATCACCACGCCGATCAACGCGCTGGGGCTCATTCGCGGGCAGTTCCGGAGAGATGCCTTCCGCTCGTGCAGATTATTCTGAGGGGATTCTCGCGGCGTCCTTTGAACGGATACATTTGCGTTCTCTTTTATTAGAAAAGACAGAAGCAGGCTTGTGGTAGATAATTCACACTTCGCTTGCGATCGCAGGCAGTTTTACCGGGTTACACAGGCTATAGTTCTGCATTGCACCCCATACAGGTTTAGTACCTAGGATGGTCAAAGATGGTCGGGGCTAACTCTACTGCGATGTCGAAGGCAGGAAGAGATGCTTGCTGTTAAAACGAGTATGCAAGAATGTAATATCAATATAAAGCTATGACAACGCATATATAGTACATAGTATGTCCCCATTACAATGGAGTAAGTTGGCGGTAAAGGAAGTTGAGAGCAGTAGCCTAGTGAGCCGCCACCAGCAGCAGCTGAAAATGGCGACTTGCACCATGCGAAGTCGGCTGAAAAGGGACGACTGCGCCACAAATGTTATTGCCAAATGATGCTATACTACCATACTGTGTTAACTTGGTCAGTCGCGGCAGCTGATGAAATCCCAAACGCTCATGCTATTTCCTCCACCAAGCACATCAAACACAGGGTGGTGGTGGTACACAGGCTGCAGGTGGCGGTGCTGCTTCTTGCCGGCTTGAAACGTTTCTGCCCCAACCCTCTCCATTTCATTCCCTCCATCCAGACCACACAGCCCGCCATTCACTACCATCTCTTGTCAAACTATATGTGCTGCATATTGTCTAGGCTGTAGTGGGGTAGCCCACATGGGGTACAACCTAGTAGGGTTTACTACTTGTACTCCTGCATCCTGTTAGTTCACCCATTCCTGCTGCTAGATTCTAACATGGTTTCAGAGCACTAAGGTCCGTAGGACCGTTTTTTTTTCGGGCCCACCTACCGCTGCGGTTACCGCGCTACCCCACGTAGCCTTGCCTTGCCTTGCCTGCGCGCTGCCCCTAGAGGCCCGTAAGACCCGCACACACGCTGCTACCGCGCGCTGCCCGCACCGAGACCGCGCAGCCCGCACCGAGTCGCGCGCAGCCCGCTGCAGCCACGCGCAGCCCGCACCGAGCCGCGCGCAGCCCGCTGCAGCCGCGCGCAGCCTGCACCGAGCCGCGCACAGCCCGCTGCAACCGCGCGCAGCCCGCACCGAGCCGCGCGCAGCTCGCAGCTGCCGCGCGCAGCCCGCGCCGAGCCCGCGCAGCCCGCGTCGAGCCGCGCGCGGCCTGCTACGGCCTCGCGAGGCCCGCGCGCGGCCCGCAGCAGCTCGTGCCGAGCCGCGCGAGGCCTGCTCCTGCCTCGCACGGCCCGCGCGCGGCCCGCAACAGCCCGCGCCGAGCCGCGCGCGGCCCGCTACTCCCTAGCGCGGCCGCGCGCGGCCCTTTGCCATGGCCCCGACCTGCCGCTGATGCGGCCCCGCCCTGCAGCTGCCACGGCCCCGACCTGCCGCTGACGCGGCCCCACCCTGCTACTGCCGCTGACGCAGCCCCGCTCTACAGCTGTTTCGGCCCTGCTCTGCAGCCGGTTTTGCGGCCCCGACGTCGCCGCTGTCGTGCGCATACTCGAGCGCCGGCCCTGCTCTCCCAGCCTTTGGTGAGCGCCTGCCTGCCTGCCTGACGGCCTGCCTGTCTGCCTGCCTGCCTGCCGGCCTGGCTGCCTGCCTGCCTGCCGGCCTGCCTGCCTGCCTGCCTGCCGGCCTGCGTGTCTACTTGCCTGCCTGCCTGCCTGCCTACCTGCCTGCCTGTCTGCCTGCCTGCCTGCCTGCCTGGCTGCCTGCCTGCCTGCCGGCCTGCCTGCCTGCCTGCCTGCCTGCCTGCTTGCTTGCCTGCCTGCCGCGCCTGCCTTGCCTGCGCTACTGCTACTGGCAGGTGGCCAGATGCAGCTCCAGCGACATTCACGCGAGCCTCTGACGCCCCAGCAGCTTAGTGAGTGGTATACTAGCTGGGGTTGTCGCGGTAGCCGTCGTAGCTGTCGCCCTGGAGCTGGTCAGTTGGGAGCGTCTGGCAGTGGCCAGCTGCAGCTGCAGGGACGTCCACGTGAGACACTTACGCCCCGGCAGCTCCAGGAGTGGTACGCTCAGTGTAGCAGGTCTACGCGTACGGTCCGCTGCCCGTACGTCATTCGCACAGGTGCTAGGACTGGTCAGCCTTGTGGGACGCTTGGTCACACACAGTCCCGCTGCTTCGCCCGTCTGAGCGACGACTGGCGCACAGTGTTTGGCGACGAGGCTGAGCTCCCCACCTGGCTGGAGCTGCATAGACAGAGGGTAGATATCTTTGCGCTTGACTATGATGCTATTCTCACTGCCATGTATGCATTGTCTACTAGTGCTGACCGTGCCTGTTGCCTGTGCGTACCGCCTGACCCTGGTGAGGCTGCTGCCCTAGGTGCTAGTGCGTCTCCTGCTCTAGGTGCTGGTGAGGCTGCTGCTCTCGGTGCTAGTACGTCTACTGCTCTAGGTACTGGTGAGGCCGTGGCTTCAGGTGCTGCTGTGTCTGCTCTCTCTGGTACTGCGCCCACTACGGTCTCGCACACCTTCACCCTTGACTCAGGAGCTTCCCGCTCCTTCTTTCGCGACTGCACCGCACTCACGCCGCTCCGTCGGCCAGTCCCGGTCTCCCTGGCGGACCCCTCTGGGGGTCCAGTCCTTGCCCACTATTCCACGGTTCTGCCGTGTCCGGCCGTCCCGTCCGGCTCGCTGTCAGGTCTTTACCTCCCCTCGTTCTCTACGAACTTGGTGAGTGGAGCTGACCTCCAGGATGGGGGGGTTCACCAGTTCACTCCTGCGAGTCAGCGAGTGACTCACTGTACGTGTGCTAGGACGGGCCGGCACTTGGCCACGTTCACCCGTGCACCTGGCTCGAGTCTGTACACACTGACCACTGAGTCCCCTCAGGTAGCTGCGTCTGCGTTTGCGTCTGCGTCTGGTCAGCTGGCGGCCCCCTGCGAGTGTCGCGCTTTGTCGCACGACACTCTCCTGTGGCACCACCGCCTTGGTCACCCCTCCTTGCCTCGCCTGCGTAGCATGCACTCTCGCTCCCTGGTCTCTGGTCTTCCCAGGTCCCTGCCTGCCCTCCCTCCCTCGCCTGCGCCGCCCTGCATTCCTTGCGTCGAGGGGCGGCAGCGCGCCGCTCCTCACTCCTCCTCGTTTCCTCCCACAGAGGCTCCACTGCAGACGCTCCACCTGGACGTGTGGGGCCCAGCCCGCGTCCAGGGACAGGGCCGCGAGCGGTACTTCCTGCTGGTCGTCGACGACTACACGCGTTACACCACGGTCTTCCCCTTGCAGAGCAAGGGGGACGTCCCTGCTGTTTTGATCCCCTGGATCCGCGCTGTTCGTCTCCAGCTCCGCGAGCGGTTCCGGTCGGACTTTCCTGTCCTGCGTCTGCACTCTGACAGAGGTGGTGAGTTCTCCTCCGACCTCTTGGCAGCCTACTGTGCGGAGCACGGCATCACCCAGTCGTTCACGCTTCCGGCCTCTCCGCAGCAGAATGGGGTTGCTGAGCGCCGCATTGGCTTAGTCATGGAGGTCGCTCGTACCTCCATGATCCATGCGGCTGCCCCCATTTTCTGTGGCCGTTTGCGGTCCGGTACGCCGCGCATCAGCTCAACCTCTGGCCCCGTGTCTCCTTGCCGGAGACCTCGCCCACACTGCTGTGGACGGGGAAGGTTGGCGATGCGTCGCGTTTCCGGGTCTGGGGTGCTCGTGCCTTTGTCCGCGATACCACCGCGGACAAGCTCTCCGCCCGCGCTGTTCCCTGTGTCTTCCTTGGCTTTGTCCCTGACGCGCCTGGTTGGCAGTTTTACCACCCCACCTCGCGCCGTGTCTTTGCGTCTCAGGACGTCACGTTCGACGAGTCGGTTCCCTTTTACCGTCTCTTCCCCTACCGCACTGCCTCGCTCCCCCCCCCGCCGCTCTTCCTTGCTCCAGGTGCTCCCCAGGTAGACCCCCTCTCCGCTCCCGGTCCTGCTCCTTCAGGTGTTTCTCAGGTAGACCTTCCTCCCTTGACTGCGCCGGTTGAGGTCACTGGTGACTCAGGTCCTCCTGCGAGTGGTCCTGCTCGGGGTGCTGAGCCTGGGGGTGCGGAGCCTGGGGGTGCTGAGTCTGGGGGTACTGAGCCTGAGGGTGCGGAGCTTGAGGGTGTAGAGCCTGGTGGTGCTGAGCCTGCGTGTGAGGGGTCTGGGGGTGCTGAGCTTGGCGGTACTGACGCTGGAGGTTCTGGAGCTACTGAGGGTGCTGGCGCTGGAGGTTCAGGAGCTGCTGGAGGGCCTAGTCCTGGTGGCGCTGGAGCTGGAGGTCCTGGAGCTGTTGAGGGTGCTCGCGCTGGAGGTTCTGGAGTCGCTGGAGGTACTGGTGCTGAGGGTACTGACACCGGAGGTTCTGGAGCCGTTGGGGGTGCGGGCGCTGAGGGTTCTGAGTCTGCTGTTGCGCGGTCTCCTTGGAGTGGCCGCCTTCGTCCCCGTGTGCCTCTCACCCCACAGCAGCTGCAGGACTGGTACGGTCGCCGTCAGCGTCGCGCTGCTGGAGCTCGGAGTCGTGCTGGTCCTTTGTCTACTGGAGGTGCTGGAGTTGCTGGTTCTGGAGGGGCTCGTGCTGGAGACACTGAGGCTGGAGACCCTGGGACTGGAGGTGCTGGCTCTGGGGGTGCTGCTGCTGGAGACACTGAGGTTGGAGACCCTGGAGCTGGAGGTGCTGGTTCTGGGGGTGCTACTGCTGGAGACCCTGCGGTTGGAGACCCTGGGACTGGAGGTGCTGGTTCTGGGGGTGCTGCTGCTGGAGACACAGAGGTTGGAGACCCTGGGACTCGAGGTGTCGGCTCTGGGCCTGGAGCTTCTGGAGCTGCTGGAGGTACGGGAGCTGCTGGAGGTACTGGAGCTGCTGGAGGCACTGGAGCTGCTGGAGCTGCTGGTTCTGGTGCAGCTGCGCCGACACGACTGTTCTTCGCTCCGCCGTCTCCGTCGTCTTTGCCGCCGTCTGCCTCTGTTCTTCGTCAGGTTCTTACTCTTCCGTCGTCTACTGGTCTTCCGTTACAG